GAAGGCAGGTTATGGACACCACCAACCCAGCATTGGCTCGATTTTACTAACAGAAATATGCTCCTACCGCGAATTTACTCAAAGCTGCTGTCTCATTAAGCACAGAAGACGCCCTCAATGATTAAAAGCCAGCCACACCGCACACACCCCCCTGACCAACAACACTGTTATAATACCAACCAACAAATGACGTTGAGTATTTTTGTATTTGGGTACCTAGTTAGTGCACAAAATCGTTTATTCTGTAAGGTGGTTGTGCTGACACCGTCGATAGGGCTTACCTCAGATCACCGTGTCGCCCCGCCTCCCCCCAGACATGCGCACTGTTTAGGTTCGAACACTTTGTCGCCCACTACCTAGTACAACAGATCCCTTCCCTCCACCTACCCGTATTCCATTTCGTCCGAACTCAGTGTGTTGCTGACACTTTGTGAAGAACTTTGTTTTGTCTTAATTTGTAATATTTTGTTAACTTCACTACAGACAGTAGGAAATTCGTGCGACCAAAGGACGCTTGGTGCGAGACAAAATCGAGCCACCTACCTGCCAACTGCCACTTTTCTAACTGTCAAGTGGAAGCGTGCAGGATTTGCCTTATTATTGCTGTAAGGCCATCACTCATACTACAAATCAGCTCTTCCCACTAGCCAGGACGAAGAGGATGTTGATTAATTCACATTACTGACCTCTCATGACAGCTGTAGGTCAGAGGCCGTCGGCAGTTTGGTTGAGTAACTCACAGTTAAGATTTTCGGACTGCCTAATGAAAAAAAATGTTATATTAGTTGCAACTAGTAAGTTGTAAATACCTAAAGCCCAACCAGTTACTCTGCCTCTGATATCTCATAATATTTTTTAGAATCTATCTTACCGGTTCGGCTGGGGGAGGGGGAAGGGGGTTGGGGCATTTGTTATGAGGGCTTGACGCTAATTTCCCCGTAAATAAGTGCAGATGAAGTTATTGCCATTCTATAATCACGTCAAGTGCCAATGACATCTGCCCTACCGGTATAATTTACATTTTTTGCCCTTTCAGCCGCTCGGATCCGACGAACGCGGATGAAGGGCACTGACAGGTTGGTGATGAAATTGAAGCAGTTGATCCAAGGCGAACCCTCTACTGACGAAAAGGCTACCAGTTCTAATGATTCCAATGATGAACAGCGCTCTGGTGAAACAGCAGCTTGGGTCGCCGATGTCAGCGAGGGCGTCGCTCGTCCTCGTTATAAATACTTTTGGTCCAGGGACTTCCGCAGTGACCCCAACCTCTTTCTCCTCGGCAAACGGGCGGAAGAGGCTGACGCCCGTCCCGACGAAGGCACCAATCCCTCTAGTGTGACCAACGGTAGTACTGACGAGGACGACCAGCGCCCTATAAATACAGAACGTTGGCACCGGCCAATGCGTTCTTGTCTGCCACCGCAGCGCCTCGAAGTCGTCGATCGTGATCTGGAGAAGGCCTTACAACGGGTAAGTTCTGGACATGCTGTGCACTTGCAAAGTGTTTCTCCTAAGTACAACCTGTCAAGTCATGTCTGATAGTGCTTTGGGCTAGAATGAAGCCTAGCTTCGGTAAAGAATATGCTGATGTGTCGTGGTAATGGACTGCCAAATGTCGGCACCATTATCTATTTCCTCTCCTCTCCCCACTACACTAATGGCTTGTCTGAGCCAGACCGGCTAGAGCGCTGAGGAAACCAAACAGACAGTCTATGCGTGCCACACATGACGTGACCCCCACTCGCATACAACCAGTGATAGTTCGGATTTTACGCAAGTTTAGAATGCAATAAAAGCTAAATTAGGCGAAGCGAATAATTCTGCAACTTGAAAAAAAGAGGACTACTAGCACCTTGACGATTTTGCATAGACGCTCAACGCACTACAGTCGGTGACGCACTTCATGT